CATACATACATACATACATACATACATACATACATACATACATACATACATACATACATACATACATACATACATACATACATACATACATACATCCATACATATATACGTGGCCAGCTTACGGTTAGAATACCTGTATACATACATGCATACATACAAACATACATCCATCCATCCATCTATCCATCCATACATACATACATACATACATACATACATACATACATACGTACATACATATATACATACATACATTTGTATATATATTTGTTGAAGGAATATCGCGTGCTGTCTGAAAGATCGCTTACCGAGATGTCGTGCTTGCGATATCGAGACGGATATCTCTAACTTGGTAAAGTAAAAGCCGAGCTTAATCTTGGCCCATAATTATTCCGTCTAGTACAAAGCAAAACCTAAGAATACAACCTAGACTTGTAGATTATTTTCATCATCAGGAAACTACTGCTACTACTACTACTACTACTACTACTGCTACTACTAATAAAACTACTTTCACGACTTTCAATCTTTCCCGTTCACCGATGGTCAGATACCAAATAGACTGGTGTGTTTATACGATTGCAAAAAAAAAAGAAAAAAGAATAATAATTATACCATTGTTCCCTTGAACTTGAATTTTAAAATGAATTTGAAAACAACGTTTCATAGTTGACATTAAAATTGTTTTATTATTTTTATTCAAATTGTTCATCATTTAGTATTACTCAACGATATTTAAATTTGGATGGTTACGTGGATTATAATCAGTGACAAATTAGTAAGTTAAAATTTCATTTCATGGTTCGAATAAGTATTGACAATCTCTGAATCTTGAGACATCAAAGTACAAAGGGTTAAAATATACAAAAGTTTTAATTTTTATTCGAATAAATAATTTAATATAAAACAACATTTTTCATTCAATTATTTATATATATTCGAATAATTTTGTCATCAAACTGTTGAATCATATTGAACTAAAACTTTACGAAACATTTATTAATATAATATTAATTATTATTAAAACACTTTATCAATCAAATTTAATTATGCAAATAGTATAATTCATTATTCTAATATGCAATCATAATTATGAAATTATATTATTAGATAAATGTATTGATTTTATGTAAAATCGTTTTAGACACTTAACGAGTTAACTGTGTACACTTCCATTAACATTTATTATTTCAAAATAATATATGCACACACATATATAACACAAACACACACACACACACACATACATACATAGACAGATATATACATTCTGTATATTCTCTACATATACATACCAATACTTAAATATTTCTACATTAAATTGTGAAGGGGAATTGATTCGAATAACAAAAGCTCAGAGAATCGTAACGTGACGTCAACGATTACCTGAAAAACCCCTTCCTTCCCCCTGGACCCCCCTCCTCATCTATCTTTTTCTCTCCTGCGAATATTTGAAATTCAACCGAGAGAGTGGTTTCATACCATCACACATACATACACACACCAACGAAAATTGGATAACACGATAGGGCCAAACGTTGGTCAACTACCTAAACGTATTCGCGTATTTCGCAATTTTCCTTTTTACGATCGTTCCATGCGGGAAAACTAGCGAAAGCTCACAGTATCAACATTGCACATGCTTTTGTGCTTTAATACATATATATATATATATATAGGTATGCATGCATGCATTCACGTATTATTATTCACGGATAAAGGGAAAGAATTATGTTCCGAGATATTCGACTCTCGTTTTGGACTTTCTCTCTCTCTCTCTCTCTTTCTGATTAAGCCATAAGTTATGGGAATTTGAAAAATGGTAGAAGGGTTTTTGTACAGAACGTGGAAAATAATACGCGAATGGTTTCATGCGAATTTTCTATTTAAAACGAAAATAATCTTCTCAGCTTTTTGTGTTTCTTTCTCGGTTTAATTAATTTTGTTGTTTTTTAAATATTTTTTTTTGGGGGGGGGGTAGAGAGGGGATTTATATTTAATATTTTTTCACTGAACATTTTCAATTTAAATGAACGTTTTTATTAATAATTTTTTTAAATATTTTTTTGTTGTTGAATTTATATTAATGTTAATATTGCATTAATATTTTTGTAATGAACGTTTTTATTTCGTTTCTTTACTTTAGTGATTTAAATTAATTTAAAATTTATTTATTTATTAAAAAAAAAAAAAAAGGAAGAAAGTAATAAAAGGGTTAAGTGAATAACGTGTAATTTTTATAATAAAATATTTAACTTGTTGGTTTATTTAAATAATATATCAAAATATATTTTTATTAAATTGGTATTTAAATATTTCATATTGAATATTAAAATATAATTAAAAAAATAAAAAATTATATATAATTATATATATTTATTTATTTAATATATTTTTTAGCATAAATAAATTGATATATATATATATATATATGTAGAAAAGATATTCAATAATTTTTTATTTATTTAAATATAATATCAAAATATATTTTTACATTTTTGTTGATTGATATGTTGGTTGATTGATATTGAAATATTTTTTATGTTACTTTCTCTTAAAAAGAAATTCAACAGAAATAAATTGAGGAATTGAAAATAAAGTATAAATTGTCCTTAATAAAAAGAAACTGAATTTTTTTTTTACACTTTTTTTTTGTCTTTCTCTTTTTTGTACATGTATATATATATATAAAAGGATATGACGAGAAAGTTGTATATTTCTCTTACATAAGAACGTGCCGAAAAACGGGATGCGTTTCTCTCACGTAGGTCGTCGTCACACAAACTACAAACGTGTCTCGTAATAACATCAACAAGCACTTTCCTTTTCTTTGATTATCTAATCTTTCAACTTTCACCAGTATTGACAGATTAAACATAACGACATACTCTATTATAATATACTGTAAATATAAAATATACTGTATATATATAATCAACTTATTCGTTGATGCACAAATACTCATATTTCCAAATTGTTTATTAATTACGAATTGACTTTCGCTAACTAACATAAGATGCATTTTTTTTTAATCAATAAATTCTTTTTCGAACAAAACAAAAAAAAAAAGAAATTTCACCAATGGACGTATGGGTTAAACCAACTAACTAAACGTTTCTCTAAAGTTTTATTTTCTTTCATCGAAAGTTTATTACATCAATCGTTGTATTTGATTAGTTTTTTTTTTTTTTATTGTTATTGTTATTAGTAAAAATTCAATCGACATATTGAATTGTAAATCCTATAAAAATTACTTCGTAATGAAAATAAAAGTATACTGGGTGAATAAAAAAAACAACAGAAATATTTAAATAGTTATGTTGAATTCAAAGATAAGAATTGAAATTGGAACACAAAAATTGAAATAATTTTAAACGTGATGACAAAATATTAATTTTATATTTACTATTATTATTTATATATATCGGATAAGTCTGTAGGGTCTCGTC